GGACTAACCTAAAATGACCAATACTGGAACAACAAAATGCAGTTTAACATCCAACTATGTGAAATAAGCAGTAAAGTGTAAGGTGGTGTGTACAGTAAGTATAATACATAGAATATGAAAGATATGAAAGAGCTAAGGTTTGAAAAACAGGCCTAATTTATTGAATAAACAGTCAATATAAACAATAACAATCTTTCAAAATATGTCTTTGTGTCCTTTATAGGCAGGAGAGTGTGATGTCAGGAAGACGGTGCAAATTCAAAACTTTTCAAAACTGGCTTTTTGCTAGCCCCAAGACTCTCTGCCTGTGTGTTGGGGTTTACCCAGGGGGACGAGAGGGTAGCTTCCCTGTGCCTTCGGGTCGAGGAATGGGTCCTGACTGTTGTTTGCGCTTATGGGCTAAATATCAGTTCAGAGTACCCACCCTTTTTGGAGTCCCTGGGACGAGTGCTAGATAGTGCTCCATCAGGGAACTCCATTGTCCTACTGGGGGACTTCAATGCTCACGTGGGCAATGACAGCATGACCTGGAGGGGTGTGATTGGAAGGAACGGCCCGCCTGATCTGAACTCGAGTGGTGTTTCATTATTGGACTTCTGTGCAAGCCGCAGTTTGGCCATAACAAACACCATGTTCGAACATAAGGATGTCCATCGGTACACTTGGTACCAGGGCAGCCTAGGTCGCAGGTCGATGATAGACTTTGTAGTCTTATCATCTGACCTACGGCCGTATGTTTTGAACACCCGAGTGAAGAGAGGAGCGGAGCTGTATACTTATCACCACCTGGTGGTGAGTTTGATCAGATGGCAGGGGAAGATGCTACATAGAACTGGCAGACCCATACGCATAGTGAGTGTCTGCTGGGAACGCCTGGCAGAAGAACCTGTTAAGACGGTCTTCAACTCCCACCTCTGGCAGAGCTTTGACCGCGTCCCGAGAGCAGTGGGGGACATTGACTCTGAGTGGGCCTTGTTCCACTCTGCGATTGTTGAGACGGCTGCTGTTAGCTGTGGTCGCAAGGTGGCCGGTGCCAGTCATGGTCGCAACCCCCGTACCCTCTGGTGGACACCAGAGGTTCGGGGAGCCGTCAGGCTGAAGAAGGAGGCCTACAAGGCGTGGCTGGTCTGTGGGTCTCCGGAGACAGCAGACAGGTTCCGGATATCCAAGCGGGGTGCAGCAGTGGCAGTTGCCAAGGCAAAATCTCGGGCGTGGGAGGAGTTTGGTGAGGCCATGGAGAAAGACTATCGATCGGCTCCAAAGAGGTTCTGGCAAACTGTCCGGCGCCTCAGGAGAGGAAGGCAGCAACTCGCTCACACTGTTTACAGTGAGGTTGGGGAGCTGCTGACGTCATCTGGGGCTATAGTCGGACGGTGGAAGGAATACTTTGAGGAGCTCCTCAATCCCTCCTACGCTCATTCCGAGGAGGAACCAGAGCCAGGAGACCTGGAGATGGACTGTCCAATCTCAGGGGCAGAAGTTGCTGAGGTAGTCAAACAACTACACAGCGGCAGAGCCCCAGGGGTGGATGAGATTCGTCCTGGGTATCTCAAGGCTATGGATGTTGTAGGGCTGTCATGGTTGACAAGTCTCTGCAACATTGCGTGGTCATCAGGGGCAGTTCCTGTGGAGTGGCAGACTGGGGTGGTGGTCCCCATCTTTTAGAAGGGTGACCTGAGGGTGTGTTCCAACTATAGGGGGATCACACTCCTAAGCCTCCCTGGAAAGGTCTACTCCAAGGTACTGGAGATGAGGGTCCGATCGATAGTTGAATCTTAGATTGAGGAGGAGCAATGTGGTTTTCGTCCTGGCCGTGGAACTGTGGACCAGCTCTATACCCTTGCAAGGGTGATGGAGGGGGCATGGGAGTTTGCCCAACCAATCCACATATGTTTTGTGGATTTGGAGAAAGCTTCTGACCGTGTCCCCAGGAGCTCTCTGTGGGGGACGCTCCAGGAGTATGGGGTGGGTGGCTTACTGTTAAGGACCATTCAGTCCCTTTACCAGAGGAGCGTAAGTTAGGTCCACATAGCTGGTAGTAAGTTGGACCTGTTCCTGGTGAGGGTTGGACTCCGCCAGGGCTGTCCTTTGTCACCGGTTCTGTTCATTACCTTTATGGACAGAATTTCTAGGAGTGTGTCGAGTTTGGTGGCAGGAGAATCTTGTCTTTGCTTTTTGCGGATGATGTGGTCCTCCTAGCTTCATCCAGCTCTGACCTTCAGCTCTTGCTGGGTAGGTTCGCGGCCGAGTGTGAAGCGGCTGGGATGAGGATCAGCACCTCCAAATCTGAGACCATGGTTCTCAACCGGAAAAGGGTGGCTTGCCAACTCCAGGTCGGGAGAGAGGTCCTACCTCAAGTGGAGGAGTTTAAGTATCTCGGGGTTTTGTTCACAAGTGAGGGTATGAGGGATCGGGAGATCGACAGGCAGATTGTTTCAGCGTCTGCAGTGATGCGGACGTTGAGCCGAACGGTCGTGGTGAAGAGGGAGCTGAGCCAGAAAGCCAGGCTCTCGATTTACTGGTCGATCTACGTCCCAATCCTCACCTATGGTCATGAGCTTTGGGTAATAAACGAAAGAACGAGACCGCGGATACAAGTGGCCGAAATGAGTTTCCTCCGTAGAGTGGCCGGGCTCATCCTTAGAGATAGGGTGAGGAGCTCGTACATTCGGGAGGGACTCGGAGTAGAACCGCTGCGCCTCCGGATCGAAAGGAGTCAGTTGAGGTGGTTTGGGCATCTGGTCAGGATGCCTCCTGGACGCCTCCCTGGGGAGGAGTTTCGGGCATGTCCTGCCGGCACGAGGCCCCCGGGTCGACCCAGGACACGTTGGAGAGGTCACATCTCCAATCTGGTCCGGGAACGCTTTGGGGTCCTGCCGGAGGAGCTGGTGGAGGTGGCCGGGGAGAGGACGGTCTGGAGCTCCCTAGTTGGGATGCTGCCCCTGCGACCTGGACCCGGATAAGCGGAGGAAGATGACGACGATTTCAATCAGCACAGTGAATTAACCTGGTTCAGTTGCTGAGCAGGACAAAAACATGACATGGAGATGACTTGATGATGCCACAATGTCACATCTCTGGTATGAACTAAAGTAGAGAATAACTTCTGTTTTAGTTGTGTTGCATTGTAAGTAGAGGAAAGCAGGTGGGATTGTGAAAGACAAAAATCTTTCCACAACTATATTGTCAAAATAACGGTATAGGTAGGTACAATATCATATCTGTTTCTAAATATATCGGGATATCTGCAAACCGTAGTTATGATAACTTGACTTGTACACTGAAAAAGTCTTGAAAATGTCCTGGAAAAGTCCTGGAAAATAATTTCAAGAAAAGAGTGGGAACCCTGTAAAAGGAAACACAAAACAAACAGTTTAGGTCTATGGCTGATAAGATTTTAACTTAGAGTACCTTGATTTCTATTTTAAGGGTAAACAACCTAAACACCTTCTTTGATTATAGATAAACAGAAAAATACCAGGGTTTTGATAAAAGCGAGATCCTGGAATCTTCCAGAATGACCCTTGAGAAGGCTTTACGAGCATTCAAACCTTGTGGAGAGCTAAGTCTTGGCAGTTTGACATGGACCAGACCAAGTCCTGATAATGTCCGTCTTTTCGATTGCTTAAGGAGGGAAACAAACAAGTCACTTGGTAAAATTTTACATTCCTGTGAAAGATGAAGGAGTTAGCCAGATGTTCGAAAATGGTCCGTTGGAATTTATATGATTGTAGGTCAGTTTCCTATTCCCCCTTTTTCCTGCTAAGTGTGAAAGAACCCTTTGTGGGAAAATGTTATTGTTATTTTCTGTGTAAATCCATACAAAGTTAACCTGAGGATATAAAATGTGGATTTCCGCTAAACTTTTACAAGCAAAAGCGTTACTTTCAACATGTGCAAGTATGTTGTCTCAAGCCCATGTGTTCTAAGGTTTGTAACAAGGCAAACCACTTGTAAATCCGTTAATATTTCATAGTTAAGGGTGTATTTGTTTAAGCTGACCACTCACCTTTCAGCTGCTACCATTGAGAGTGGAGGGGTCTGTTGTCTGAGGTAAGATGGCCACCCTTTAGCTACGCCCTCGCCATCTAGTGTTTCTGTACCTACCGGTATCTATGGGATAAACCATCAATCCTGCTCAATGGTCCACTTTCCTCGCAGGGTCACCCATAAAAACAGTGGGAGGGTTAAAACATGGATGGTGGGAACTTTCTACAGCTGAATGAAGATAAGATTGAGATCCTCATCTGTGCCCCAGACAAGCTGGTTCCCAAAGTCAGAGACTCTCTTGGTCAACTTGCTTCTCACACCAAAGCAAGAATCAGGACCAGATGAGTGGGTGGGGCAAAAAAAAAAAACAGCAAAACTAGTACACTGTATTACAGAAGAGGTGTCAGGTTATTACTCAGAAAGGTGTCAGGGACTTTCTAGTTACAAAAACATATGGGATGCAAATGTTATACAGTGTACCAAAAAAATGCTATGACCGGGAATTTCTGTAACTTGTATTAGATAAGAAAGCTATTCATGCATTTTTAGGTATGTGAAAACATTTAATGTTAAGACTAGAAAGTAACGGTGACCAGTAGGGGGCAGAACAGAAATAATGTAAATTAAACAGCAAAACTCGAACAGGGTGGATTATGGAGAAGGTAACAGGGAAATAATAATAAACTCAAGTTACTTTAAATTAGGACTAAAACTAGAAAATTTAAAGCATTTCAATAAGACATTGAGCAGCAAACTAAATTTAAAATGAGGAGGAGGGGTCAGTCCAGACAGGAAGGGAATCTCCCAACATGAAAAATTCTCATTCATTAACCTCCCCTCTAGACATATTTTAGTTTAGGTAACCTAACCCCGCCGTGTCCCTTTGAATCTGAGTTTAAAGACTACAGTTGGAAAATGGGATTACCATCTTTTCAGACTGACACCAGTAACAATGATTTTAGCTCCTACATTCAGTGTGAATCTTTACAACAACTGCATCTTTTCTGCAGTATGTGAAGCTGATGAACTTTGAGGAGGAGGTCCGGGCACATCGAGACTTAGATGGCTTCCTGGAAAGAGCTAGCATACTGTTGGATGAGACAGCTGCTACCCTGGATGATGTCCTTAAGAGGATGCTGCACCATGTGAGCCAGGACAGTCATGTATCTGAGCCCAGCTGCAACTTTGAGGAGGTGATGAGCATGCTGTTCACAGATGCAGGAACTCAGGAGGTGAACGGTGAGTAGGACCTGTCTGAACGTACAATGCTCTGTTTGTGGAAAGTCATCCGAAAGTTTGTGTTAAAAATCATATTAAGAAACTCTGAGGCAAAGTGATTTTTTTTTCAAAAGTAAAAGACAAAAGGAAACATGTTGGGCTTATTGCCAGGAGTAATTATCAAGTCAGTTACATCAGGATTTTAGATTTGCAGCAGATGGTTGAAGAAACATGAACAGTGAAGGTCGTTTACAATCATTATCCAACAACGGAGGGAATATATACCCTAACCTGAACTAAACTCAATAAGTGTGGAGGAAACACAAGAGTTCAACAACGTAATCCCTCTTCTAACATTGGATGCATCTTATTAGGAAAAAAGAAAAGAAAAAATGGAGTCCTTGTGAAGCTGACTCAGATCCCTTCACACATGCCAAACAGAAGCGCCTCAGTGCTGTGTCAGTGTGTGTTTACACACAATAATCAAGCATCAGCGGGCTGACAGCAATCACTGATGATAGCCAAGAACTGAACAGCTGGGATGAAGGCTTAGCTGACGAGGAACATGGACACCTTCATGATGGAGAGGACTTTGCCTTCCTTCTATTTTTTATGTAGCATAAATTAAAACCGCATACTTGCTTACGCCGGGGACACACCGGCTGCGGAAGCGCCGCGAAGCGCCGAGAAGCGAATCGCTCACGAAATTCGGCAGCTGCTCGCCGCTCCTCAGTTCAGATCAGACGCGCCCCAGTCGAGGCGCGCCTCGGCTCAGCTGTAGTTTTTCTTTTAAAACACTTGGTGTCCTCCATTTCCTCTCTGCCTTTTCTCAGCTATTTTCCTCTACGTGTGTGCGCGCGCGTGTGTGTGTGTGTGTGTGTGTGTGTGTGTGCGTGTGTGTGTGTGAACCTATGGTATGAGTTGTTTCTGCCAGTTGAATCTCTTGGAACCCGCTCCAATTCTGCAGCTGTATCCTAGCAGTTTCTTCCGACGTGGGTACGTAAATAACCATGTTTTTCGGGGGTCGTACAGCTCCTTGTGTTTCTCAACTTCCATAATTAATTTAAAGTCATCCATCTTAACTGCTTGCCTCAGACTTTCTGCCTCTCTGTCCTGTTTGCTCCGGTGAAAAGACACCCAAACCACACACCCTTCACGTGGTCACACACGCACACAAGTTCGATGTGTGTGTGTGTTCGTGTGGTTTTTCTGCAGTGTCTGATTACGAACACATTTGACTATTGCAGAATTTTATTTTGAAATGCTTTATTTTGTTAACTTTACCGGCCTGCCTCTTATGTCTAGGTTTGACTTCCTGCCAGAATTGACGCGATTCACCCGCGGCTCGCGAAAAAAATAGAGCCGACGCCGAAATGATCGCTGCACGGCGCGGGCTGGGGCGCCGGCGCGAGGCGATTCGCGGCGCTTCGGCGGCCCACGTGGTCTATAGAATAGCTCAACAAGGGCGCCGAATGAAGGCGGCCCCATTTTCGCGGCGCTTCCGCAGCCGGTTCCGCAGGCGGCCCATGTGGTCTATAGAATAGCTTAACAAGGGCGCCGAATGAAGGCGGTCCCATTTTCGCTGCGCTTCCGCAGCTGGTGTGTCCCCGGCGTGACTAAGACATTCCATCTCTGGAGATAGAGTGTAATTCTAGTCTTTTAACACCTTATCGCATGAAAAGTTTAAACACGGTGACCAGTGTTTTCCTGTTTAATTGGCCGGTGTCCTCGGTGGTGACGGTTAGTCACAATCAGTGTGTGTGTGTGTGTGTGTGTGTGTGTGTGTGTGTGTGTGTGTGTGAGACTCTTATGAACACATGACTCTGACAGATCCACAAAGTGAAAATTAACTTCTGTCATCCATCACTCATGAATCTTGTCAAATGGCTCTCAAAGATTTTCAGGATGTGGTTTCAGCTGCTTCTCTCCCAGAAACAGCTCACAAGGAGGAAAAGAAACAGGCCATAGTCATTTATTTATTTGGGCTGCAGTTATAACAAGAGCCATCTGTGCAGGTACCAGTGGGGGTGAAACGTTCTGAAAGTGTCAGTAATGTTACTGTTCAATGAAATTGTATGTAACGAATCTAAAGAGTTGGCAGATGGATTCAGTCACAATTTCTGAGCTGGGTGGACAGGGAAAACTCCATTAACATGAAGAATCCAGAAGCAGTATATGTTCTGCTTCAGATTGTTGTAATCTGAGACACAAACCAGCAGAAGCAGTCCACCACAAAGTCCTGCAGAGAAGAAGAACAATGCTAAGTGAAAATTATGATATATACATCAAAAGTGCAGAGTCACATAATTCCATGCATCATTATGAGACAACACATTCCCAACTTTTTCCCCTTTGAGCTACACTTGAGGAGGGACAGAGGGGCATTTATTATTGTTCTAAAGATAGGACAACAAGTTCATTTAGGAAGTAGAAAATACATCTAAACAGTAGGATTGCACACAAGCTCACTGAAATGTTGATAATAAATAAGTGAAACTAAAGATGAAACATATCTGGATGTGAGACCATTTGAAATGGGCCTCAAATATAATTTAAAATGTAAATATTTCTCCTTTTCTTTTGACGCCCTTTTTTCAGACTTAGATCCCAGATGTCTGGTTAGATCCCTGAACTCACTTGTGGTTCTCTTTTGTCAATGCTGAAGGAAACTTTATCTCTGGGGAGAATTACGGCCCCTTCTACAGGCATATGTTGATATCACACCCAAGTCTGCTATCAATGGGATGGATCTGTTGAAGTAATCATATCTATGCTCACTGGGGGATATCACAGCTGGCTCATTTGGACTGTAGTACAGCTGTGAGATAAAGAGAATGGGAGGAGATACTGGCAGGCGCTGAGAAAAAGACAAATCGCATAAACAAAAAAGATGAAAGCTCAGAGAGATAATTAGTCCTGCTCCAAGGGTTGGTTTTAGGGGCCTTTGTCCTGTCTTTGGTTCCCTTTTGTCTTGGGATTTGGGACTGGGGAACAGTTCATGCATTGTCGACAAAAGTGCTGCAGATGATGCAATGTATGAATAACGTGTGGATAATCATTTTTCTGCTTTGATTCTTACATTCTACGATTGCATCCTTCACGATTAAACCTATATTAGTGTAGTGCAGCTGAGTGACTAAGAGTCAGGTTCTTATTCAGTATGCATTTAAGTATTTTCCCTTCCAGTCATTCATGACTACAGTCTTTTGTGCTAGGTTTACAAATTGTAATAATAGTAACTTAATATCACTTGTCACCTTTTATTTTATCTAGTTTGCTCTTCCTTTCATCTCCATAAGTCTCTCCAGTTTGGTTATTTCGAATGAAGTGTCATGTAAATCTTCCCCTCTTGAATTAATTAATTAAATATGAAAGTGCAATAAAGATGATTACATCTTCACTAAAACTGGTGCTTTTTGAGTTTATCAACACATGACCAAGAAACTGCAAGAAGGAATTTTTGTATTTGTTTCTGCATTTGTGAAATAAACCGTTTTTTTCTGCTTGACAATGCTCATACTGTAGATACAATGTCACTTATTATAATTTGCTGAATCTTACCTCAAGATCTCCCCAGCCAGAAGCATAAATCAGCTCTCCGTCTCTCAGATTCGACTCCCTTACGCCTGTTGCCGATACAGTATCTTGAAATTGTTTGTTTAAGCTGGTGATACCTCCTGTTATGGACGCCGCCCAAACCTCTCCCTGTAGTTTCAGCCCTGACGCTTCCGGCCAACAATACTGTTAATAGTTACTTGGGAGACAAAATGTCACACAACCTCCCGCTCAGCCGTCAACCTCCTCTAGGGAGGCACCGCAGAGCCGCTCAGACTCCATTACCCAACATCCCTAGCGCCAGGTTTTCCGTTTCACGTCACCCGCCAAACCTATATAAGGAAGTGCCGCACAACGCCGGCTCACTCAGTCATCGTTCTCACCGAACTTAACCTAGAGTCTTAACCAGATCAGCTCAGATCACGAAGCCTGTTCAGATCAGACCAGCCAGATCTCCGAATCCTGCCTGTTCGTACAGATCAGCTTCAGACCAGGAGTCGCCGTGTTCAGCTGTGTCACAATACAGCTGCGTACCCGGCTCCCAGATTAAACAGCGTGTCCATTCAACCCGGCGTCAGTCACTCCGCGCTTGGGTTAAAAGCCACGCCACATCCAAACTCTTGCCCAGCTCGAGTCACCCCGTTAAAGGATGACTGAGACCACAGTTAACCCAGCGGAGTTTGATAACCTGCGTGCTCAGGTCAACCGGATGGAAGTCACGGTGGAACGCCTGGCCGCCAAGGTGGATTCCATCGCCACGGGGGTTCTCCAGCTCTCTGCTGCGCAGCAGCAGCAGACCTCCAGAGACCGAGACCAACCTATATTCAGCCTCCCGGAGAAATGGGATGGAACGCATGGCTCACCTGAAGGACTGTTAGCCACGTTAGCCATGACATTCGAATGTCAGCCACACCGATATGCCACACCCCGCTCCCGGGTGGCGATGCTGGTCTCTCTCCTCACCGGCCGAGCTCAGGAGTGGGCAGCCGCCATGTACAATAAGAAATCGGAAGTCTGCAATGACTATGATATGTTCGTGAATGAACTCAGGAGGGTTTTCGTTCCCCCCAGTGGCGAGACGTCAACGGAGACGCAACTCCTCCAGCTCCGGCAAGGAAACCAGACGGTAGCGCAGTACACGTCTCGGTTCCGGACCAAGGCGGCCAAGCTGAGATGGGGAGACGAAGCGCTAAAGGCGATCTACCTGGAAGGGCTCTCCTCCCGCATCAGAGACGGGATGATCGGACGGGAGACCCCCGGAACCCTGGACGAGGCAGCCGACCTCGCTCTCCAAATGGATTTGCGCCTTTTTACGCGCCGACCTGCTGAGCCCGCGGCAGCCGCAACCAACGATCGGTCCCGCTCAGCCAGCCCACTCACTGATGAGCCCATGCAGCTGGGACACTTAAACCCAGAGGAGAGGGAGAGGCGCTATAAGGAGGGGCTATGCGCCTATTGCGGCGCAC